AAAAGCGCAAAAGGAAACAGCAGATTCTATTTTACCGGACCCTACAACTCGCCTTTACCTTTTACTTTTTTTACAGCGTCCAAATTCAACACTTTTCGGAAATTAGGGTTTTTTAATTAATTTCCCCTCTTTTTTATTTTGTTTTTATTTAATCCTTTGTAATTAGTTGGATAATGTCGAAATGGTTTGTGGCGCTAGCGATGTCCACTGATTTGTCGCCACGTCTTGTGGAAAAAGTAAAAAGTATTATATTTGGCCCATGAGAGTGCGACACGTCGTGAGAGTAGGAGAGAGATAATGTTTGAGATCCACTGGAGAAAACTCCATCGAGGATGACTTTGTCATTGCTCATTAGTCAGAACTCTGAATTATTGAATTATTAAAATAATAAGTTGTGTAGTAGTTATCTGATTGTAGGCACACCTAGGATTTTAGAGTATTTTAGGTTGTATGCTCCTCGTCAATGTTTTTGCAGTTTGGGGCATAGTTTTCAAATTCGGTCCGGGAATCTATCAATAGACATGGCCAAAACTTGGGCCTTGTCCGGCTCGTCGGGTCGCCGGGTTCGAAAACACTACCCTGAATCAGCACGGACTTATACTCGTGTTGGGTCCATGTTCGGGCCGGGTCGTGTCCAGGCCGGGTTCGGGTTTTTTTGAAAAAAATAATAGAAAAAAATAAAAAATAAAAAAAATAGGAAAGGAGGGTCATCAACTCGGCCCGGTCCAGACCCGCCGGGTCGGGTCATGAACTGGACGACCCTTACACGGCTCGTCTGAAATCCGGGCCGGCCCCGGACCCGCGGTCAACAGACCGAGTCGGCGGGCCGGTTGACCCGTGGCCATGTCTATCGATCAGGGTAGGTGTTCGGGTCATCGGTTCAACCGCTGGGTCACCGAGTCAATTGATGAACCGGATAATTAATTTTAAAATTTTTAATATTATATAGAAGATTTTGTCATATAAATATACATAAAAATAACAAAATTAAATATTTTGTACATAAAATTTGTACATTAGAGTGTTAATAATATGTATCTCATAATAAATATTTACTTTATAAACATATATACATAGTTTTATTTTTTAAAAACAAAAAATATTTTAAAATATAAAAAAAATAATTAAAAATATATACAGGGGCCGATCAACTGGGTTGACCTGTCCGGGTCAATGCCCCGGGTCGACCGGGTCAATGCCGGGTTGGCCGAGATTTGACCAGGTCCTTTGTTGCCCGGTCCAAATAACCCACCCGGACCGGCTCTAACTCCGGGTCGATCGGGTCTCGGGTCGGCCCGTCGGGCCGGTCCGAATTGAAAAACTATTGTTTGAAGTGATTTTGGGGTTTTTTTTTCCAAGACAAACAATAAAATTTGTAACTCTAAACCAAATGTTCAAATACACCGAGTAATCAAATGATTACAACCTTTGGGATATCACCACAACTACCCAAAGGCTACGAGAAGGAGTATACTCCTCTCCTCAAGGATCAACAAGGCCACACAAGTACAAAAACAAATTACAACAACAAAAACTTATCAATCTTACAAGCCATAGACAAACTCAGAATTTGCTCTAACAAATGAGCATCAATATCACCAATAGCTTCCCACTTTTGCAAGGCTTTTACTTCAGCTGCATTGTTCAGGAAACAAGAGCATAATTGCCAATTGAAATTGTTCTCTTTTTCAGCTTGATCAGACTCCAATGTGTTGCTAATAGAGTTGCTTCAGTTTCATTCCTGGCACCTGTTAATTGACCTTCCCACTGGATCTTGCTCTATTTCCCATCCTTCACAGCACAGTCCACAACAATTTCCCCATTTTCAGATGAATGAGCACTGGTGGCCACCAAAGACCTACCTACTCTCTCTAACAGTTCATCTGACCTGTCTGCATCTTCTTTGTGTCCCATTCCATCCATTCAGATTGAGCTCTAGCCACTACCTCTGTCTAATGTATCCAATCCCCTTTGAAGACCCACTTATTCTTGCTTTCCATAAGTTCCACATCATAAAGGCAAAAAAATTGACTCTATCTATAAGAGCTTTGCCCATCCCTGTAGTGCAAGTTTCCAGCCACCATCTTTGAAATCCATGTGTGTTGATATATGAAGTGTAGTGTTATATATATAGATTGGTAAATAGCCGTTACAAAAAAGTTGTTAACGTTGGATTATTATTATTATTATTATTATTATTATTATTATTATTATTATTACTATTATTATTATTATTGTTATTTTGAAAATAAAAAACATATTATTAATATAATATTTGTTAATTATGTCATTCATGATAAATTATAAAATTCTAATTAATCATTCAATTCATATCTACTTAAAAGAAATTCGAATTACTTGGTTAACATTTTAGTGAATACAAGTAACAAATCAAATAAAATGTCACCCTCACATTATGATGTAGAGCGTATGTAAGATTGGGAAAAGAACACGAACACTCGTTCAAGAGAAATCTCAATTTTCAATAATTCAACTCTGTCTGCTTCTGAAGGAAACGATCCTTCAAATACATTAGATTATTACCCTAACTTAAAAGCCCATCACAATAATAAAAGGTCCAACAACTAATACTAATAATAAAAGCCCAACAAGTAAAAGACTACTAACGAAAATGAAACACACTAAATACGAAGACGATCATATTTATTTAAAAATGCTATCGCGGTCTCATCTCCATCATCCTCCCCCGGTTGGGAAGGATTCGGCCGCGAATCCGAGCCGGTCTCATCTCCGTCCGAGTTATCTCCCGCGAATGGAACCAAATGCTTGACGTTAAAAACTTCAGAAGTGCGAATGTGAGACGGGAGACGTAGACGGTAAGCATTGGGGTTGATCTTCTCGAGAACCTCCACAGGCCCAATTTTACGGACGGACAACTTATTAAACTCGTGAGCGGGAAACCTGTCTTTCGTCAACACAGCCCAAACAAAATCACCTACCTCAAACTCCACGTGGCGACGACGGGAATCAGCAGCCTTCTTATATGCGGCCGTCGTAGACTCCAAGCGAGCCCGAGCCGCTGCATGTGTCTGGCGCAGCTCCGCCACAAGGTCCGCCGCGTGCTTGTCAACCCCTCTGGTAGGCGGCAATGGCGCTAAATCGCTGGGCCCGCGAGGCTGGACGGCATACACAATCTGGAAAGGCGAGAAGCCTGTGACCCGGCCTACAGCAGAGTTATGAGCGAACTCCGCTTGAGACAAACGTTGGTCCCAACTCCGGATATTATCTCCCACCAAACGACGTAGTAAGTTGCCCAAAGACCGATTGACCACCTCCGTCTGGCCGTCCGTCTGAGGGTGATAGGCGTTGCTGAAGTCGAGAAGAGTGTCAACCATGCGCCACAAGCTCCTCCAAAAATAACTCAAAAACCGAGTATCGCGGTCGGACACAATTGCTGAAAGCAGGCCATGAAGACGATAAATTTCCCGAAAAAATAACTGGGCCACGTGAACAGCATCCGTGGTGCGGTTGCATGGAATGAAATGCACCATCTTCGAAAAACGATCGACCACGACGAAGATAGAATCAAAGCCCCTTTGTGTCCGAGGTAAACCCAACACAAAGTCCATACTAATCGACTGCCACGGCTGGGATGGAATCGGTAGTGGCCTATACAAACCCGCATTAGACGAGACCCCTTTGGAGACCTGGAAAATCCGACAACATGCCACAAATCGACCCACATCACGTCGGAGGGAAGGCCAGAAATAACTGCGACCAACCAATTCCACAGACCTATCGCGGCCCACGTGACCGGTCCAGTGTAAGTCGGCAATGAGCTTATGCCGAAGGGTGCACTCTGGTATACATAAACAAACCCCACGAAAAAGAAACCCATCCACCAAAGTATAGTCTTCGTAAGGCCCGTCACGTAAGCGACCCCAGATGGGGCCAAAAAAAGGGTCCTCCCAGTACACGTCCTGTAGAACCTCAAAACCCACGACCGAGACACGCATCTCCGACAACAAAAGTGCTCGTCTACTCAAAGCATCGGCCACCCTATTAGAGGTACCCGAACGATGGCGGATGACAAAAGTGAACTGCTGAAGGAAGGCAGTCCAAGAAGCATGCCTCGTTGAGATGTTATCCTGAGAGGCCAAGTGCTGAAGCGCCTCATGGTCGGTATACAGTACGAACTCCCTGTGAAAGAGATAATGCCGCCAATGGCGAACCGCACGCACAACAGCATAGAATTCAACATCATACGTACTGTACCTCAGTCTTAGGCCGGATAGCTTCTCGCTGAAGAAGGAAACCGGACGGCCATCCTGGCTGAGTACCGCTCCAATCCCCACCTTCGAGGCGTCACAAGATAGCTCGAACGGGTGAGAAAAATCTGGCAACACAAGAACCGGAGCCGATATCAACTTGCTTTTGATAAGAGCAAAGGCCTCTGCTGCTGCCTCGGTCCACGTAAAAGTCTTCCCCGTAAGACAATCAGTGATCGGGGCCATCAATAAGCTGAAATGGGAATTGAACCGTCTATAGAAGGAGGCTAACCCGTGGAAGCTGCGAGCCTCTATGAAAGACGTCGGGGTCGGCCAATCCCGAACGACCGCTACTTTGCTCTCATCAACTCGGATAGCCTCCGCAGAAATAAGAAATCCCAAAAATAGGACAGAATCCACCACGAAAAAACACTTATGTGGTGCGGCAAAGAAGGACTTGGTCCTCAAAAATAAGTAGAACGGCCCGCACATGCTCCAAGTGTTCCTCCACCGAACGACTATAGATAAGTATATCGTCAAAATAAACGACGACACACTTCCCGATAAGGTCTCGCAAGGTTTGGTTCATGATGCGCATGAACGTACTTGGTGCGTTTGAGAGACCAAACGGCATCACCAGCCATTCAAAAAGCCCTTCTCGGATCTTAAAGGCCGTCTTTCATTCATCACCCGGCCTAATCCGGATTTGGTGGTAGCCAG